AGTGACAGGCCTGATGTTGGGCCAAGTAATGGAAGCTGAGTAACAGTGGTCAGGGTATGTGGGCAAGAGATACTGACTGAGGGATTTCCATGGCTGATCATTTTCTTCAGCTCAGATAGAACCTAGAGTCCTAGTTCAAACTGATCCCAACCCGTTTTTTTGGTAAACTAACCGACATCAGCAGACAATTTGCAATTATCCTTCTCAATGGCCTAAGTATTTTCTCTGTTCAGTACTTTTTTCAGTGTTTCTGCCAGGCTGCCTTCTCCCTGAAAGATGGCAGGGGGAAAAAAAAAAAAAATAAGGTGTTCTCTGATACACAATGAGATCTGAGACTCAAATGGAAACTGTCCCTGTTTTTACAGGACAAGTCTCTCCAGTACTCACTGAGGGTATGATGTAGTGAAACATTTTCTCAAACTCAGTATAGGCTTTTACACTAATGAGAACTCTAGTGCTGGATGAAATGAAAGCTCTGAAGGAAGCACTGGCACACTGATGCACATACACACACACACACATATATATGGGATTTCTCCTCGAGTACATTCTCTAAGGACAGCATGCCAACTGAAGCTCTTCTCAAACTCACCACCTGTGTGCGTGCATGCTAAGTCGCTTCAGTTGTGACCCCATGGACTGTAGCTTGTTGGGCTCCTCTGTCCGTGGGATTCTCCAGGCAATAATACTGGAGTGAGTTGCCATGCCCTCCTCCAGGGGATCTTTCTGGCCCAGGGATCAAACTCACATCTCTTACATCTCTTGCTTTGGCAAGAGGGTTCTTTACCACTAGAGCCCAAAGTGAAGTGAGTGAAAGTTGCTCAGTCGTGTCCAGCTCTTTGCGACTCCACAGACTGTAGCCCACCAGTCTCCTCTGTCCATGGAATTCTTCAGGCCAGAATACTAGAGTAGGTTGTCAGGCCCTCCTCCAGGGAATCTTCTCAACACAGAGATCAAACCCAGATCTCCCGAACTGCAGTTGGATTCTTTACCATCTGAGCACCAGTGGAAGCCCTGGGAAGCCCAAACTCATTGCATATTCACACCTATTCTCCTGAGAATGTTTCTTCAGGACAAAAATAAATCAGGGGAAATTACTGACACATTTTTGTTGGTGAGAAGATTTCTTTATCGTTCATTATCTTCCTGTTGCTGAATATTTTCCAGTTTGGATGCTGTGCATCATTTATTGACTTTTATTGTACTGTTTCAGTACACTTGGACGCCCTGGAAAAATTCTACAACTATAAGCCTGAGAAAAAAAATAAAAAATAACATGCCTCAAATATTGGTTATTAGGAGAATGCAACATTTCTCTTCTGAAGAATTCAGAACAAAGGAAGAAAACCAAAATGATGTCTGGTCAACTTTCTTTTTTTTTTTTTTTTATGCAAGAATGTTTTACTTTGATTACAGTAATTCCCCAATTGAGTGAATTTTTTGGAATCAAATAGTTACATGTCATCTGGAAGATCAAGTTGCAATTACCTACAGACTGTCCAAGATCAACCTTCTCAACCATCTTTAAATGACGGTCAACTGTGTACCAAATTAAAAAGAGTAACACATAAATTTATGCTTACAAACATGTTTGCACATATCCCAGGGTCATATGCATTTACCATGAAGAATTAGATGATGTTCAAGATCATTCTAATAATTCATTTGTGTATTAGACTCCTAGGGCTGCAATAACAAAATACCACACATCGGGTGGCTTAAACAAATGACATTTATTTTCTTACTATTCTGGAGTCTAGAAGTCAAGCAAGACCAAGGTGCTGGCAGAATGGGTTTCTAGAGAGACCTCTCATCCTGGCTTGCAGATGGCTGCCTTCTTGATGTATCCTTGAGTAGCCTTTTCTCTGTGTGTGTCTCTCTGATGTCACTTCCTCTTCTAAAGAGAATATCAGTCATACTGGATTAAGAGCCAACAGTTACAACCTCACTTAACCAAAATTACCTCTTTAAAAGCCCTATCTCAAAACAAAGTCCCATTGGGTGAAAGGACTTCAACACATGAATTGGATTGTGGGTGGGAGTACAAAAATTCAGTTTCTGTGCTTTGGGGGAGGTAAAAGAAACACAGAGGAATTTAGGCCTCATTTCAAGTCTCACTGTATTTCTGGAGAATATTGTTAAAAAGATGTGAGGGGCCTGCTATTTAATCCCTGGATGTAGGAGTGGTGGTGGGTTTAGGGGAGTATTGTTTTGGGGGAAAAGAGAACTCACCAAGATACAGGGAAAGTGAAAATTGCTCAGTCGTGTCTGACACTTTGTGACCCCATGGACTATACAGTCCATGGAATTCTCCAGGCCAGAATATTGGAGTGGGCAACTGTTTCCTTCTCCAGGGGCCTCTTCCCAACCCAGGGATCGAACCAGGATCTCCTGCATTATAGGCAGATTCTTTACCAGCTGAGTTACCAGGGAATCCCCTGAGAGTAAATCAGGGTCTGCTCTAGAGATAATATGAAAGATTGCTAAGATTTTTATTTACCTCTTAGAGCAGCTCTAGGGAACTTTATATGATATACATCAGAATCTTAATTATTGAATCCTATAGGTTATACAAGGTTTACTAGGAAGACAAGTCATTATAACATGGAAATATCCACTAAAAACTAACCAGTTGAAACATTAGTAAACAGTCAAGGCTCACTTTCTATTTAATTATTGTTGTTCAGTCGTCAAGTCATGTCCAACTCTTTGCAACCCATGGACTGCAACACTCCAGGCTTCCCTGTCTTTCACTGTCTCTGGGAGTTTGCTCCTGGAGTTGGCTCATACAGGCTCTCAGAAATTATGAACATGTGCCTTTCCAACTCCACTTTCAGTGACATCACATTTGGTCACTTGGAATAGACCACAGTGGAGAATCTATATGAGGCAATTGGGAAACATGATAAACCAGATCTCTTCGTTTTTCTGAGAACTGGTTGTTCAAGATTTACCAACAAATCATTGAATTGATTCATGGCCTTTGAATCAGTATCACTGCTGAGTCATTTGTTGGCTATTGTTCAAAATAAAAATTCAGTGTAAACAAAAGGCAGTATGAAACTCAATATCCTGCAAAGGATGCTAGATTTTATGACATTGTTGAAAGTGGTGCTATGCTAATATCCATGGCATATACATTTGTTGTTGTTTAGTCACTAAGTTGTGTCTGACTCTTCTGCAATGCTGTGGACTGTAGCCTGCCAGACTCCTCCATCCATGGGATTTCCTAGGCAAGAACACTAGAGTGGGTTGCCGTTTCCTTCTCCATGGTCAACTTTCAACTATCCATTATCACTGTCTGCTTTTAACTGTTAACCTTCAGCTCTCATTAACCATTTCCTTTTAAGAGAAGCACAATAAAGCACACATCATGCTTTGAAGGGCATAGTAAGCAGATAGCAGAAGTTCTACAAACACAAGTCTTTTAAAAGCTTGGCTGAAGTGAGAATTTAATATGAAATATTATTAACTCATTCTCTAAAGCAGATCTACCAGAGCATCCATCAAATGACACATTTTAGACCTCTGAGGGCTTTCCTGGTGGCTCAAATAGTAAAGAATCTGTCTGCAATGCAGGAGACCTGGGTTCAATCCCTGGGTTGGATTGAACCCCTGGAGGAGGGTATGTCAACCCCCTCCAATATTCCTGCCTGGACAATTCCATGGACAAAGAAGCCTGTTAGGCTATAGTCATGGAGTCGCAAAGAGTCGGACACCACTGAGTGATTAAGCACAGACTTCTGAAGGGCTTCCCAGGTGGTGCTAGTGGTAAAGAATCCACTTGCCAATGCAGGAGACATAAGAGACGTAGGTTCAATCCCTGGATTGAGAAGGTCCCCTGGAGAGGGTACGGCAACCCACTCCAGTACTCTTGCCTGGGATCACAAAGAATCGGACATGACTGAAGCGACTTGGCACACAGACTTCTCAAATCTTTTTCTCGCATTTTGTTTTCCTTTTGGGGTGTGAGGGGAGGGTAGCATACCAAATTACTTCATTTGAAGGAATGGTACTAAGGAAAGAACTTAAGCAGGTATAACCCAAACACAGATGCACTGCCTTAATGACCTGGGAAGTCATCCCTGTGACCACGGGAAGTCAGCCCAAGGCTTAGCTCTCATCATCACAGTTTCCCAGTATGTGCTTGTCAAAGAGATACTCTGCCATGCCAGACTCGGGGGACCCCTGTCTTGCACAGGTAGGTTGCATGGTCACCCAGTTCTTTGAAGGATTTCACCTGCTCATTCAGGTAATGAGTCCCAGTGAAGTCACACAAATGGGGGTCACTTCTGTCAGTGGCCAGTTTGTGCAGTTCCAGTAGTCACCGATTCACACTTTTTTCCAAATGGAAAAAACCATGCAGACAGCCCTTCAAATGACCACCTTCAAAGGACCTACAATCTAGTAGGTAAAAGAGACTGATCAATACTGAAATGTGTTTTGTTTTGAGGGAAGGAGTGGGGCAGAGGGAAGGAAACTCCCCTATTCTGAATAGGAGAGGAGAGTTGCTAAAGCTTCTTGGAAGATGGCTGGTTCCTCTAAGTTGTGGAAGACTAGCGACTATAGTAAGGTAAGAATTAAGGGAAAGGGCATTCTGGGCAAAAAGAACAACACAGAGAAAAATCAAATAGGGAACTGCAAATTTCACATTTCTGAGTCATTGTTCAGGAAAAGGACTGAGGTAGATAAAGATATTGAGGTAGGGTACTTCCCTGGTGGCACAGTGGTTAAGATTCTGTGCTCCCAATGCAGGGAGCCCAGCTTCAATCCCTGGTCAAGGAACTAGATCCCATGTACCACAGCTAAAGATCCTGCATGCTAGGACTAACACCTGGTGCAGCCAAATAAATATAAATAAATAATTTAAAAGAAAAAAATGATGCTGAGGTAAAAAGGAGTCAGCGTAGGGAGAGGGGAGAAGGGGATGCCTGGAATGCCAACTAAGGAGTCGCCAATTGAAGGGTTTTAAGTGGGAGACATTGTGAGATATGTGGTTGATGACAGGCACACTGGTGGAAACAAACTGGATGCCCTGCAAAAGAAGTGAGACTGGCAGCCAGGAGGTCAGATAGAAGTAAAGCAACAGCTCCTTTTGTGTGGTCCCTGATTGGTCAGGTTCATCCTACAGAAGGACACAGTGGGGAGCGGTCACAGAATAACAGGGCAGCACAGAGACTGGCTCGAAACTATGAGAAAAGGGACAAATGCTTCTACATACCAAACACCCCACAGCTGACCTGGCTCTTCAGACTTCAGACTTTTTTGCTCAGCTACAATTTAATGAAAGATCCGTAGACTATTCTATAGTCTCTCTACACTGCAGACTGTCCAACGTTAAGGACTATATCTTATTTGTATCCGTAGATCCATCAGTATTCACTGTACACACAGTGACTTATACATAAGGGCTCTGCTCATGCTTTTTAAAAAATTCTTTCATTTTACAAATGAGCACTTTCTATACACCATGTTCTAGGGACTAAGGAAACAGATTAGAACCATACTCTCATGGAGCTTTTCTTCTAGTATGAGAAATGGACAGTAAACAAATACATAATATTTTCAAGAAGTGATACTACTTAACATAGGGATAGAGTGATGAAGGCTCTAATTTTCCTTATAAAGGTTCTAGCTTAGATAAGGTGATCAGAGAAGGTCTCTCTGATGAGATGAATATTTGAGTAAAGCCCATAACAAAGGTACCTGAAACAGTATTCCAGGCAAGAGAGTGCACAGGGTGTTTATGAAACAGCAAGAAAGCCAGGGTAGCTACAGCAGAAGGACCATAAGGACAAGGGTAAGGAGATGAGATTAGAGGGGTGGCTGGGGACCCAATCATGTAGGGACTTGGATATGAATTTCTTTAGGTATAATCGAAGATGAAATTTCACTTCTTCATGGTGAGTCCCATTCTCAAGAAACACAAAGGAAGTAGGATTAGTTGTAGAAAATCTTAGAGGTAAATCTACTGCTCAAAGGCATTGCAAAGCATTCTTAAACTAAGTAAGCATGATAATTAGATTATTTATTACTTGGAAACCTATCCACCACCACCCTACACTAAGAATCTTATTGCCTCCAATAAGACAATAAGACAATTTAGAATAGACTGGGCCGGGGCGGGGGGGGGGGGGGGGGGTAGATTTCTGAAATGGCAATTCAAAAATATCTTTCAAAAAGGTAATATTCCTGTTCTAGCCAAGGTAATATTCCTGTTCTATCCTAGTTAATCCACTAAAGTGTGCTTTTTTTAAAAAAAAGGCCAAGGCTTATCTTCACCAGTCATGCAGGGTTCTACTTCTCATCACACATCAAGGGTCGTTCCTGACTACTGTTTCCATGACATTAACCTTCCAAACCTCAGGTTCCTCCAATCACTCAATAGGCAGCATAAGAATTACATCAATTGTGAATTACATCCCATGATTCTGGCACAATGGGTATAAAAGATCTGCAGTTGATTCTATTACAAGCAGTGTGTATAAATGCTGAGATTGCCCTGGAATGAGATGACAGTTAATAGATATTTCTCACACAAAGATGAAGGTCAGGCATTCCGTGTTACTAAATACCCTATGAGCATGACTTTCCCTGCAACACTTTCTGCTGTCAAAGTGGCAAAACAGCAAAATACAAAAGAAACAGCATGGGTCTGAACAAGGGGAGAAGGGAGTTTGAGAATGAAAAGAAGAGCATGTAACAGAAGGAGATGTGAAAAGAGAAGGTAGTTTGGAATGAACTGAAGGAGGGACGAGGATAAAAAGAGAAACACACAGGAAGCTAGGACACACACTGATACCACCCTGCACTGTTGTTTACCTATGTGTCTGTGCCCTCCTGGGTTGGATCCCCCAGTATCTAGGTGGTTTCTGGTGGTGCATTCCCAGCACACAGCCAGCCCACTGAGCCCTGCTCACACTCAGCACTAAATTGTTTGTGGAGGCACGAGAATGAAAGGATTGCTTTCTCTTCCCCCTCTTTCACTATATATCTTCCTGACTTCTATAAAACCTAGTTCTGCTATTTATTCTTTTGTTTCTATTCAGCTTTTTTTTTTTTTTCCATTTCCCTCTCTGTCCTGTAAGTCAACCCATGTGTGCGCCCTCTGTCGTATTAGCAAATTGTGGCAGCCAGAGCCAAACTGATGGGACCAAAGGGGAACCGTCTATGACCAAGACTGCCCGCCAGACTTAGGCAGAGACTACACAGAAATGGCATCAGAAAAAAAGGCAATTTCAATGGTCATAAGACAAACACAAAAGAAGTGAGCTGCAAGGCTGCTGAAGGGGAAGGCTCAGATCTTCTCGTACCTACAAACATTTGCTGTGACAGCCTTTTATTGGAGCTGTTGATATGCCTCATGGGTAAGGGCAGAGTGTTAAGAGAGGCTCTGTCTAGGACAGAAACAAGAAAAGTTACTCACGGGAGAAAGAAGGACAGAGAAGAATTCCAGGGCCTGGATGTGCGGGAGATAGACGAGAGGAGGAACTCAAGACCAGCTTGGAATTGTAAGGGATAATCTGTAGGTGACTGGGGCTTATAAAGTAACCTCATGTATGGGATGAAGTGAAAGTCCCTGAAGGCGAAACAGAGTGAGGCCTCACCCGAGGGAGAAATAGCAGAACGAAGACACAGGTGTGCAGCTACTCCACACCTGATTCCCCCGTGCAAGGCGCTTCCCTGACCAGCTTGGACCCACTGGCTTCCAAGATTCCTCGCAGCAAGCTGGACCGCGGAGCCCTGAACTACAATACCCATAGTGCCCCACGCGCAGGCTAAGTGAACCGCCCCCTTCTGATCCCCACTAGCCAATAGGTTTCGCCATCTTCCTCTGCCCCTGGAAATACCACGGGAGGAGTCGGCGCTTCCGGCACCGTGTTCTCTTTGGCCTCGGGGAATCCGAAGATGTGGTGCTTACGGAGAAGCCGTAAGGCAGCGGTCCTAGGTGTAATGACGGGATCGTCCATGGCATGAGTTCGCTAACAGAACGTACGCTGTTTAGGCTAACGGATAGCACCAAACCTCTGCTTTTAGGCCCCTTCCCCACCTCTTCCGGGGCGGGCCTCGGACCTTCAACACATGCGCACTGTCCTTCCTCCGCCCCTGTGATGGGGCGAGCCTAGGACCTTAGCACATGCGCCCTTCTCCACATTCTCTGGGACTGGCGTCGGACTTGCAATACTGGTACCCCTAGACAAAGACCTGACAGGCTGACTGGGGTCTCTGGTTGTTTCCGTTGCTATGCTCAGAACGTTGTATTTTGGGTAATGCTTTTTTTTTTTTTTCTTTTAACTTTCTCTTGTTTAACATCAGGACGCAGCAATGAAGTGTTATTGACAAATCCCTAAAGCTGGATTTGAAATATGCACTTTGTACCACACCAGATTTGGGGTATTGGGCAGGTCATTTATTCGCGCTGTTGGCAGGGCTGTATGCAAACTACTGGTGCCCACAGCCCTCCAGGTCCCCGTAGGACTGTAGTTTCCAGGCCACTGGAAACTTATAAGGGCAGTACACCAGAAAACCAAATGCTGAGCATTGGTGGAGCATCGTCAAATCAGTGAAAGAAAGGAACTGGAAATGGAAGGCATTTGGGGGCCAGTTGGAAGGAGAAACGGGAAAAGAAAAGTTTTGTTGGGTTTTCCCCTCTACCAGCAATTCCTGATAATTCTCTATTTAAATATCATCCCATCTGACTTTTCTCCATCCCTACTGTCATTCACAGATCAAGATCATCTCTTGCTTAAATTCTGTCTCCAGTCCCCACCCCAGCCCCTGTCGAACTATTCTAAATTGCAAGCATGATCATTAAAATGTGTCATGACGTCTCTTTGCCCCTAAAATTAAGTGCCAACACCTTAAGAAGGCTCTTATTGTCTGGTCTCTTCCTCCTCCACCAGTCTTCCCTCACTCTTTGTTCCAATCACCTTCAAATACTTCTTTTGACACAGGAGGCCACTTCTTACACCTGATCTTTTTATGTGTGGAAACAATGTCATAAACATTCTGAACTCTGCTGAACACAGTCCTGGCTTGGTTTCAAGCAGTGCCTTCCACCATACTCTTGTCAATTCTCCCTTTTCCTCTCTGAAAGATTCTGTAGCTTTCTGTTTGTTTAGTTATTAGAAGTCCAGCCTAGAGTAATGAGTCCACTTTAAAGCTTCAGTCTCACATAGCTTTTCATAGCTTCCTTACCCTCAGCACCAGCCAGCCTTCAGCATGGGACGCCATTTGGGGAATTGGTACATCCTGTTGGAGAAGGCAATGGCACTCCACACCAGTAGTCTTGCCTGGAAAATCCCATGGACAGAGGAACCTGCTAGGCTGCAGTCCAAGGGGTCGCTAAGAGTCGGGCACGACTGAGCGACTTCACTTTCGCTTTTCACTTCCATGCATTGGAGAAGGAAATGGCAACCCACTCCAGTGTTCTTGCCTGAAGAAGCCCAGGGACAGAGGAGCCTAGTGGACTGCTGTCTATGGGGGTCGCGCAGAGTCGGACACAACTGAAGCAACTTAGCAGCAGCAGCCGTCCTTTAATAGAACTCTCTCTTTTGCTAACTGAAACTATTTGTTGTGTTGGAACCTGGAGGAAGGACTGGGGAGGTTCTAGGAGGAAGGGCAAAATGTCCTTTTCCCTAACTGGGCAAGTCATGGTAATCATCTGTTTGTTGTTTGACTCTCAGGCTAAAGCTGACTGATCGTGGATACCTTCCATTTAGAAGATGCCCAAATGCTAGTGCTTATGGGCACATGAATTAGTTTCCTGATAGCTCTCCCCATTGCACAATCCCCTGACAGGGATCTGCTCCAGTCTAACTGCTTTCCACAAGGCCTCAGGTCCTGCCTTTGGCTGTATAACTAAGCTCCCCTGCTACTAGTCTTCTTGGGAGGAGGACCAGCAAGATGGCTCAAGCTCTGTTGACTTTTCACACTGTTCTTTTGACTTACAGGAAATTCATACATCCTTCTAAACCACATTACAAGTGACAACTCTTTTCCAGTCAACCCTCATTCTTTACTCCAGTGATCACAGAGAATAGATCAGCAAGCCTATCAGCAGATA